ATATATATATATATATATATATTCTCATCTACCTCCTATGTCAGCTTCCTTTATAATCAAATAAAATATAAAAATATCAAAGTTCTTCTTCTCATGTAATCTTCTTCTGATTATTTGGCTTATGATCTCTCTTTTTATTTTTTACATAACTATAGTTTAAATGCTTTTATAATCTGAATTGAAAAATCTTTTCTAAATAAAGTTTAAAACAATATATCATATGTTTCAAATTAAATCTTTTAATTTGATATTTTGAATAGTTTAACTTGATCATTTTTAAAATTTAAGTTACTTTTAGGTTATGATAAAATATAAGGTGAGTAACAAATGCTCATAATTTTGTATTACTTTGTTTAGATCTTATTCAGTTCTATATTTTCCAAATATACTTTTCGTTTATTTTTAATGTTTACAATGTACACAAAATATGTTTTATACTAATTTTGCGATCGCATTCAATTTTGTTTGTGCGTTAGTTATTTTGTTTAAAACATAAAATTAATATTATTTTATAATACACATAATGAATATAAACATATTATTTTGTTTTAAAATTATTTTCAAAACATATATTAACACTTATACACATATATAACTTAATATAATTTTTAATTAATATTTCATGTATAACCCACGCATCGCGTGGGCAACTTTCTAGTATAATATAAACATTACAATGAAAAATATTTATCATGAGAGACTAAGCAAATTGAACCTTTCATGACTCCTCCATCTTTATTGAGCTCGAAGCCCTTTTCTTCTAGATACTCTTTGAGGCATGTGATGTCACTGAAGCGGTGTTTGAATCGATGAACGGAAAATGCAAGATGGTTCATTGTGTAGCCATGGATAAGTGCCCATGCCGCAAATTCGTTTTCTTTGGCAAGTGTGTTGAAGTCGGTCCATGTAGGCTTCTCCCAAATTAAATTCCCCAAAATACATGAAAGAAGGGCTTGCTTACCACCTTCTGGTTTTAAATACTTCTTTATTATCTCCTAATTAACCATAAATTAATTAGTAGTTATGAGATTTATATGTGTTAAGAAATTATATAATAAACAGCGTTATAGTTGTGGTTGTGATCAATCAAACCTGTGATTCAGGGCTTAGTTCGTCCACAACAACCTCAGCTATAACAAGTTGTGGCAAAGGGCCGTTGCATAGACCGTGACCGTGGCCATCATTAGGGACGTGAACATCAGGAGGAGTATACCAGAGAACTCGTAGGTTCTTTGGGAAATAATATTCACCTCGAACTTTATATCCATAATCCATGAAGAAACTTGACAAAGAATCAATTCCGTAACCATCAACCTAAACCCATACGCAGCCCCAAAAGAGTAATTAGTTTCACCAAATCTAATGTTTTTTTTTTGTTTTTAAAGTTTTTCATCCATTCATTATTAATAATTTATACTTACGTTGACGACAAAAGAAAACACTTATTTTGGTTTCATATTTATATGACTGCTTTACAATGTTTTGCGACGAATGAGTTTATATCCTCATTTATCTATATTTGATATTTTTAGAAAGTTTATATATATAAAATTTCAGTATAAATGATTAAAATACGATAATATATTATATACATGATGAATTCCTTATAAGAAAGTATATAGTACACATGTCAAACTAATTTTATTATATCCAAGTATTAATACTGCTGATTGAAGAAGTACCTTAAGAGTCTTGAAAGTGAAGTGGTCATAGAAGATCTTCTCGTTGTCCACCGACTGAACAAGTTCCCATATTTTCTTTGCTGTAGGGTTCTTCTTTAGGTACGTTTTCAGTATATTTTCAAACACATTCCGAAGAAATGTTTCACTTCCTCCCTGTTACATTATATCGAAATTATGTATTATCTTAATTAAATTGTTTTAAAAAAGTTTTATTTTCGAATACATCAAATTTGAGAATTAACCTTAAACTGTGACGTGTGAGACAAGTCGAGAGAATCCATGTACAAAGATCTTTGAGTTGTGTATGAGAAACTGAACGTTACGTTGCTTGGTTGCTCTTATTTATTCTTTTTTTTTTCTTGGTAAAATGCTCTTATTTATTCTTGTATTTCATTACTATTAAAGAAAGACTAAAAGGGAGAGCTGGTGAACAAAAAATAGAAAACAAAGACGAAGGAGTCACGTTATTTATTCTTGTATTTCGTTATTTAACAAAGACGAAGGACTCGGTCTCACTATTATTTATTTTATTTTCTTGACGTAAATTTCCATAATTATACTTCACGACACGACTGTATAGGGCTCGTTGGGACTAAATTATATCAAATTCTCAACGAAACAATTTTCTACACATTTTATTTAAAAGACAAACCAAAGAACTTTTGTATTTATCAGTTATGCCGAATCGACTAACAAAAACAGCATACAAAACGTGAATTGTAACCAATCAACGAATATTTTTGTTTGAAACAATGCAATTAGATCATATAGTGCGAGCAAGGCTCGTAAAAGACGTAAACCCAAGCATATAGTTTCATACTCATGTTTATATAATAATATTATACATTGAAAATTATAGAACCTTTTGAGTAAATTACTTAAAATTTCTCTTACAAATGTAATATGTTACAAATCATGACTCATGAGGAAGATATTATTTTTCTATGTATATGTAAAGCTTATATTAAGTAATCCTCAATCCACATGAGATAAGTTTCCACACACATATGATATAATGGCACATACATTGAATATAGTAAAAACTTATACTTATTCATTGCTTTATTTCAGACATGATAGGACGACCAAACTGAGTTTAGTCTTCAGAGGTGAAACGGGCACTTTCCAAAATGTTTTTAGCGTTCTCGAAATCAAAGTGTTCACGTCTATGGACCTCTTTAATCTGCAAACCACAAGTTTATAAATGGTGAATACAATAAACCAACTGATGCATATATGATGAACAAGGTCGCTGTAATGTAACCAAAGTCCTCTAAGAAAAAAATACAGAACCTGATCATGAGGCAAATGTTTAAACTGTGGGAGAACTAGACGTTGAGTGAACTCAATGTATGAAGCTGGAACTGTTTCAGTTACTCCATCTGCAAATTCAACCGCAATCCTTTCCGAGATCGACGACACTTGTAACAGTAGGCCATCTTGACTCACTGAAATATATTAAAGAGTAAAATGCATCAGAAGAGATGAGATAAAGAGTAAAACCGTTTAAATGAAAAGTCACACGATCAGGGGAACACAAATAAATGAAAACCTTTGAGAAGTCCTCCGTCCTTGTTGAGTTCGAATCCCTTTTCTTCAAGATACTCTTTGATGCATCTGATGTCACTGAAACTGTGTTTGAATCGGTGTACGGAAAATGCAAGATGGTTCATTGTGTAGCCGTGGATAAGTACCCACGCCCCAAATTCACTTTCTCTGCAGCGTTAACAACAGTTAGCTCTCGTTATGCAAGAAATGTAATACCACAATATATGCTTAACGTGTTATATATGTATATACTTGGCAAGTTGGTTGAAGTCGGTCCATGTAGGTTTCTCCCAAATTAAAGACCCCAAAGCAGTTGAAAGAAGGGCTTGTGTACCACCTTGTGGTTTTAAATACTTCTTTATTATCTCCTGAGTAACCATTAAATAGGAGTTAAAAACTTAGTTAAGATTCATAACAAAAACATTAATGATCATTCACACCTGTGATTCAGGACTTAGATCGTCCACAAGAAGCTCAGCAATAACGAGTCGTGGCAAAGGGCCGTTTCCTAGGCCATGACCATCATCGGGGACGTGAACATCCGGAGGAGAAAACGAGAGAACTCGTAGTTTTTTCTTCGGAAAATCAAGTCCATCTCCAATTGTGTATCCATAATCCATGAAAAAACTCGACAATGAATCTATTCCGTAACCCTCCACCTACCCCATGCATAAATTAATGATGTGTTAGACATATTTAGATATATTTAATGAATATTATGTACTAATACAGCTTAGTTCGTACGTTGTTACAGTTGTGAAAATATCATAATCAAAAGTTCAGAAATTTTTCACGAGAGTAATATTTGTTACCTTGAATGTCTGGAAAGTGAAGTGGTCGTAGGAGACCTTCTCATTGTCCTTTGACTGGACAAGTTCCCATATGGTCTTTGCCGTCTGGTTCTTCTTCAGGTAAGTCTTGAGTATATTCTCAAATACATTCCGAAGAAATGTTTCACTCCCTGCCTATCACATCAAATAATGTAACTATCGTAATTATAATAGTAAATCTTTTATTTCTCATCCCTTGGAATAAATCAAGATTAGAGAAATAACCTTGAACGATGAAGTGGGAGGCAAGTCGAGGGAACCCATGTAGAAGAGTTGTGTATGCGATCGACACTGAGCCTCTTGCTTGGTTGTTCGTATTTATTCTTGAAATTAAAGATGAAGTAGGAGTCAATAATATTATTTAATTATTTTGTATATATGTATTTTTTATTTTTTTGTTACCAATAATATATAGCTGAAAACAAAGTGTTGGTTAACAAAACAGGACGTCAAAGCTATTTATATTATTTTCTTGACGTACATTCCACTACATTATTGCATGCTCTCTCAACATGTTTGATATATGTTTTGTTTTCTATATAAGAAATGGGCAGGCAGGTAAAGACTAAATTGGTATACAATCATGCAACAAATCGAACCACTTCACGTGATTTATTAAACAAAATTAAATGAACCACGAGAACCACGAGATTTTGTTATTTCTAATATATCCTAATATTTCCCACAATCCAATCTTTCAAGCCAAATCCCACCAACAAAACAATCATCAAAAAAACTCTTCTTTCATTAAAATATTGTCAGTTCTTATATATACATGATACTCATCAATTTGCTTGATAATCAGATTATAAATCACCACGAGGAGGAGGAGATTACACTTGTAGCAGTAGCCCATCAGAATTCACTGAAATCAATCAACAATCTAATCAATGGTGGAAATTGACAAAAAAACATTAAAAAAAAAAAGAATAACTAAGTAGTGGTTGAAATGTGAAGTTTTATGACTTTCCAACTCCAAATAATTGACTATATAAGTCGATAGTTTTATGTCTATTAATATTATATATATCACATTTTTAAGTATTTTCCCTACTTTCAATATAGAAATACTTAGAATGTGATATAATATTAACGTGAAAACATGATATATAACATATTAAGTAATTTATATTTCTGAAAATGATATGACTCTTACTATTCTATCTTCAATTGAATGTCATTTTAGGACAAACCAAAGAGATATCATATATGTTAAACTGTTGAAGAGCATATGTAACTTTCTTTTGTGGTCAAAATATATACCTGTGATTCACGGCTTAGTTCGTCCACAAGAAGCTCAGCTATAACTAGTCGTGGCAAAGGGCTAGTTGAATTTAGATAAATAAAAATCTTAGGGACTTTGGAAAAATGTAAAAAGTTGAAGAGTTCTCATGAAATTTTTCTTTGATATATATTTGATAGTAGTTTCTTGAAAGTCAAAGTTCTTCACTTCTCAATGTCAATGATAACGTTATATAAACCAATGTTCTAGAGTCTAGACATGTTAGCTTTTTTCACCACACCGTCTTTCCATAATACATAAATTTTCTCACTAAAACTTAAAAATACGGGAAAACAAATTTATTTCAAAATTTAGTTAATACATAAACTATGTTATGCATTATCCGATTGCATGAGTAATAATTATTTTCTCATATGAATAGGATACACTATTCCTTTTCCAAGTTGGTTTTGGAATTAAACTCCTATAAACAAAATACTTTCTTCATTAAGAAATTCAACATATTAAATATACGTAAGTCCTTATAACTCAAGGTAATATAGATTGTAACAATATTAAAAGATCAAACACACGTATGTAAAGCCCAAATAACCTAGATCGTAAGCTTCTTTGATCCAATCTCTTCGAGGACTCTTACTCATGACTTCTCCTCCTCCTCCTCCTTTCTTCGACGTCTCGCCAGCTGCAGCAGCGACAAATATGCCTGACCTGACCATCGTCGGGTTCTTGAAGTCACCAGAGTCGTTCCCACTCTATCTTCTGATAGCGCTGATCGTTTACATCGTCCAACTCCGCTATTGTAACTACAGGGTTAAGCAGAAACCAAAACCCTTGAAGAAAGAGATTCTAAAGTCTCTCCCGAAATTGACATTGTCGTCACATGAATGTGTTGTGGCAGTAAAGGTTCGTAGGTGTGTGATATGTCTTGAGGATTACGTGGTAGGTGACGTGGTGAGGGTGTTGCCACAGTGCGGACATGAGTTCCACGCTATCTGCATAGACGAGTGGTTTCAGTTAGGCTCCACTTGTCCTTCCTGCCGAAGCATTCCAGTTATTTATCACCACTTTGAATGTAGTGATCCGTGAACAGAGTTATATGTTTTTTTTTTCTCTCTCTAACTTTTGTACACACATCTATGAGAACTTTAGCCTAGGAAGTAGGAACCAGCTCGATGTAACCAAACCTTATAAATACGGTTTTTATTTGTTTACCTTTGGACTTGGGGCAAATTCACTACAATAGATATATACTTGTGAAATAATTCTCTGTATTCTGAAGCCATATTTTATTTTAGCATGCCTTTGTGTTGCCCACATGCAGCACAAGTCTAGGTATTAATATAACCTCCACATCAACTTTATTTTAAATAGCTCCAAAATCCAAAAGTGTGGACACAGCACATGTCCATGTCGATAAACATACTCCAGTTCAAGGAAAAACATCCAAAGTGCAAACCAAAATATCATAGGACCCGAGTTTGTGGGAGAAAAAGCCAATCCAACGAATAAATATAAGAGAGCTTTCTAAGGCTCACGAGATCATTTGTATAAGTAAGAAGTTTTTTTTTTATATATATACATCCCGCAAGCCAAACCGCCATTGGGAGACTTCAATATCAACACTTAGCTGAAGTAGCCCTGCATTCAAATTTCCTTTATCACACCTCTATAACAACATATCAAACTCACAAGAGAGATAACAGTGAACAAGATTGCTTTGGAAAGTGACCAAACCTTGATAACAATGGCCTTGACTTCACATTAACCTTACTCAAACTGATTTGTTTCATTGTGGTTGTCACCTGTGTACCATTGCTTTCAAACAGCTCTTCAGTCAAGTTTTTCAGCCCCTGAAACAGATTGGACGAAATCATTGTCATCAGTATTTCCTTTTAAGTGTGTTGGAATAATGCGGACACGTATGAGAATTTCAAGCTGACAAACACCTTGGTTTCAACATCTGCAAGTAAATTACGAGCCTTCTGGTTTACAGGAAGTTGAAGCTGTCCCTGTAAGATGAAGTTGATCACTTTGTGAGATAAACAACCATACATTATATTTGCATTCCAAAAGTATGATATAAAGGAAAAATGATACAGAACACTTTTAATTTTTAATACCAGAAATAGGTATAAATTATACAGAGAAATAGGGAGATAAATTTGATTTAAGTGATCCCTATCTGCATTACCATCTCAGGCAGTTTTGTGCTCTTTCCTCCTAAATAGTTATACAAGTGTAGCATGAAAACATTTGTGACATCCTGCCACCAGAAACAGAAATAGAATCAATACTGAGTTACCAATTGTAGGAGATTCTCAGGATAATGATGCCTGCTAATAACAGATACTTATAGAACATAAAAGATGAATGTACCTGCTTATATTCCAGCGTGTCCAACTTCCCATCCTACAAAAAAAATATTAAATGCCAAAATAATTAGGAGAGATACTTAAAGGAATGAAATTCCCTAAAGGAGAATTCTAATTTCTTATCTAATCTTAAAGAATAGGATTCAAAGCTGCAATCGCTTTAATCAGGACAGATACAGCAATTCACATGCCAATGAGTGTGAAAGAGAAAAAAACAATTGATCTTCAGCATTTCTCATACATGTCTTGAAACAATAAAACTAAGACTCACCAGTCCAGCAATTAGCTTATGCAATGATTCCAAATCCCCCTCAAGTGAGTTGATATCCAAACGAGCCATAATGACCTGTTGACCATAAAACACAAGAACATTACGTTGGTCCAAAACTGTTCAGCACACTACAGATGCATAACAACGAAAGCCAATCGTTCTAATCATAGGAGCTGAAGAAAAAGTATATATCATCATAATTCATACCTGGTTGTTGATTTCCTTGGAGAGATCAATCTGCTTTTCTACCTTATCATCCATATTCTGAATTTTTTGAGTTAAATGCCTTTTTGCAGCCTGAAAATAAAACAATTAAGATCCAACTTAAACCCGGCAGCTTAATGTATCACCAGAAACACCATAAGTAGCGAAGAAAAAAAACTCACCACAAGGTGCTCAGAAACTTGCTCCAGATTCTTTGTTAAGTTAGCCACGGCATTTGCCATGTTGGCTTTTGTCACATACATAAGGTCAGTGAACGAGAGCCCCTAATCAGAAACAGTTTTTAGTTCCCTTTACAGCATTGAAATCTCCTTTGACAGTGGCAGTGCGAACGAAGAACCGAAATCACAAGGGAAAAAACAAAACAAAACCTTAATCTCACCTTCCACCACATATAACCGTATCCTAGAGCTCCCAATGCAGCAGCAGGAACAGCAAGGGCTTGTAGATTTGCTAACAACAACAACAATCAAAAAGAGCTACGGATGAACACAAGATTCTCCAACAAAGAGAAAACAAAACTTAGCAAAACTATTTCAGAAGAATTACAATTCCCTAATCTTAACATACCACTAGAAACTCCATCCATGACAGTTATATGCTGCTGCGAAGCTAGATGTCGAACCTCCATAGCTAATCGGCGAACCTTTTAAATTGAAGAGAAATCAATACTATTTCTCACCAATGACCCTAAAAATCCAATGGACAACGGAAATGAGTTAGGTACCTGGGCAGCTATGGCATCAGAAACATCAGAATCACCATCAGATCCTTCTCCAGATTTCTCCATTCCCTTAACCAGACCCTATCCAAAGAATCAAACCATGCCCAACAAATAAGTCAGAAAAATTCAAATGGAGAAATCACCAAAAGAAAAACACAAAATCAATATAAGTACCTGCAATTCACCCAACAAATCCGACAATTTCCCGTTCTTCATCATGATCGTACCAGTATAACCTTGAATCGGGAGACGTATCAGAATGAGCAGATCCCAAAATTAGCAACGCAGCAGTAACTAAACGAGCGAGTTAGATGAGCGCAGAGAAATCGAGTGAACATACCTGCTCCGGCTAAGAGGAAGATCCTGGATAAACCAACTCCGGCCTGCATCGCCATAGCTCCGACTGATTTTTACACCGCCGCCGAGTTGTCGTTGAGCTTCGTATCTCAAAATCGGGAATTTAATTTAGGTATTAAGAAGAGGAACTGATGTCTTTTTTTTATTTTCTTTTTTTTTTTGTTTTTTGTTTTCGGGAGAGATACGTGCTGCTACTATTTTACTTAGAAACGACGCCGTTTAAACTCAGTTTCTCAATTTCAGCCGCCGCAACTCACGGCGAGAATAGCCGCATTGCCGTGGTCGCCTTGAACGATACGTAACTAGAGATGGGAAAATAACTGTAAACAACCCAAAATATACTTAAACTGTAACCCACCAAATTACTTTTAGATATATCATTACCTTAAACTTAAGTAATCAAATAATTGTTTGAAATTATTCTGGTAAAAAACAAGTTAATAGCAATGGTTTGGATTTGTAGCAGACAAAAATTGGATCACAAATGCAAGAAATGGCTCAACATAAGCAAATATGGGTTATGTGGTGATCATGGGAGCTCAAGAACGTGCCCACCTATCCATTTTACTGCTCATGATCCTTCGTTTCTTGTTAGCTTTGTTCTTTGCAGCTAACTTGAGTTTCCTCTTTGCGTTTCTCTCAGGGTTTACTACTGCCATCAGCTTCTCTTCTCTTTTCCTCTTCTCCCTCTTCGTTTCCAGACTCTTTTTGATTTCTCTGTAAACTTGCACAAACGTTTGGCTTCCTAAGCTCTCGTCTCTTATACTGTCTCTTACCTCTTCCGCTAGCTGTTTCAACTCACATGTGATGGGTTTTCCAGTAAATCCTTCGCAAACTTTGTACAGTGGGAGCAGGATTCTGAAGGCGTATAGACGACACTCTTCTTGATTCAGTTGTGAGGCAAAGCCTTTGTAGACATTGAACACAATTCTCATCTGGAGAGTGTCCATTTCAAGAGCGATCTTCCCCATTCTTTTGAGCAAACTCCCAATCAATACATTTCTCACATCCTTGTCACTGTGTTCGCCTGAAGCAAGAGCCAAAAAAATAGACTTCCCTTTCCCTGATCCAAGCTCTTTAAAGGCATTGAGGAACACCACTTGCTCATCATTGTCAAGACTAGGCCAGAACTCATGATCAGATTGTCCAATCATCGAATGAAGACCAGAGACTGCAAAAACAATATTTTCTGTAATGATCAGAACTTCCTGTTCTTTCCTTGTGCTGCTTTGATCCTCTAACTGGACGCAAAGAGAAACAGCTACCCTGAAGAGGCTACTTGGCTTCCCAAGAAGAGAATCAGCGACTAGTTTCTGAGATTTTCCTCTTACCCTCCCAGCTAATGCCTTGAAATAATAATTCAGGAGTTGGCATGATATAGTGCGTAACAATTCATGTCGATGCAGCAACAAGTGAAACACCAATTTCCAAATATCCTGAAAATGAGATGAGGTCTTATAAGAATAAAATTATGTTCGTTCTATCAAAGAACAAGCTTAGACATAAAATTGTTAAACAAGATAAAATATATATATCAGAGCTTCAAGATGCGATGATTAACAAGCTACTTCTCACAAGTCAACTACAATAACAACAACCTATAGATATAGCAATCATACAGCTGAGAGCATTACCTCTAAATCTTTTCCAAAAGTCAAATCGGGAAATTGCTGGAGCATCTTCTCTATCATAGCCAGTGAACGATGAGCTTCCTTCCAGAAAGGAATACTGCCTTCCTCAGCCGTATTTTGCAACTGTAGAGTAGACTCTAAAATCACTTTAGCCTCCTGCAATATACTGCAGCTATGCTTCCGCAATATTTCCTTAGTGGCTTTATTAAATAATCCTGGTGCCTTCATAGCGTCAATGAATAACCCTAGTACCTGCACATCATTCAACAAATGAGTCAAAATAATCAACTGCCCCAAGAAGAAAGAAACACATCTACCAAAAACAAAGCTATACGACAATGTTCCAAGATATAAATTTTATAAGACTCATGTGAAGTTATAAGTTTCTACTCCCAAGAGATCTGACATCTAACCATTTCTAATAAGAACATGAACCTTCAGAGCATTTACCTCTGCACCTATAGCAGATGATTTCTCCTGCTTATACCAAACTAGACAGTGCTCGAGGCTCGAATCAATTTGATCCTTACTGATGCGACCTATCAGAAGTTTTATCACATCACCAATCTTGGTCAGCACGTATTTATCATCATCAGTTGCCAAACAACAAGCAAGCTGAAGAAAGAAGTTTTGAGACTGCTGGTCAAGAAACGACGTCTTTCCAAGATAAGGTCTTGGGAGTTTCTCGATAAGCGCTTTAAGCATGTCAAGAGCTGCTTTTCTTCCATTTGAATGTACATAGCTGGGAGAGGAAAAAAATCAGTTACTATTTGGAAAGTAAAGCCAAATTCCAAAGAGTTAATGTACCTACGTACCTCAGATATTTCAGCAAAATGTTAACATGTCGTTGTAGGCATTTCTCAGAAAGTGTATGATGGACCAAATACTCCAAGTGTAATTCCTTGCAATTCTTGCGGGTTAGGTCTGACTGAGTCTGTATCATCAACTTTAATACCTGACCTGCTATATCATGTATGTTTGGGACTGCAAGCTTCCTTTTCACAATGGTCTTGATAAGTGACAAAGAGGTAACAGATGAATCCTCAGACAAATCCGATTCCAGATCAACAAACATGGGAAGCTGAAGCAACATTTGCAACTCCCAAGATGATAAAGTGAGATATCCTGATTCGATAAAAACTATTAACAGCTTAAGGCATGACTGCACAAGAGGAGTACTGGAACTCGTTGCAGACTGACCAATAATAGTTAGTAGTGCTGTGTTCACCTTCCCTGCTTCAGATTTCAAGGAACGCAGTTTTAACCTTGACAACTGAGTGAAACATCTAATAGATAAAGATAAAACATCTTCATACTTAGAGCTCAAGCACCCAACAAGTAGTTTGACAAAAGGATCCAGCATCGACAACAGCGCTTCTTCAATCTTACTATTGTTGGGGTTTATTTTCTTCAGTCTGTTGTGCAATAAGTCAAGAGCAAACACGGTTATAAGATATGGACATGACTTAGCACCAGCAGTCTTTTGCAGTTCTCTTGATTTCCTTTTCTTTTTGGATGGTGGAGAAGACCCTTGATCTCCAAGACCAATCCTGTTGTTAATACCATCATAAATGAAACAAAAAATATCTTGTTGATCAACAGATGGATTGCCTTCAATACCAGCTGCAATATACCTTAACATCTCTTCCAGTTTCGTCTTTAAATTTGGAGTCATAGGCCTCTGCAGCTGAGCTGTGACTGGAGAAAGTAACCTTAACACATGACGTTTGAACGTTACATTAACAGCAATCAATTTCAGAGTCTCAAGTGACTTGCGTTTTACTGTTTCTTTCTTCTTCTTTGATGCCGTCTTTAACTCATCTTTCTGTTCATCAACATCTTCAAGGATATTGGCTTCCACCACAGCAAGGAGATCTTCCAAACAATAATCTAACTCCCCACCCGTAGGATTGGACAGGCACTTTGACAAGATATAATTGACAGTGTCTCCTAGCTCATGCACCTCAGACCCTCGTGTTAATATAGCACGCAAACTTTTTACAACAAATTGCAGGTACTCTAGCCCAAGTTCCTCCACACAAGCAGCCAAAGCCTTTCTGGCTTTATCACGTGTGGCTTTATCACGTTTGCTAGTCTGCCCATTCTTCAAATAACTGCAAATTTTAGGAACTAAAGAGTCTAGCTGTGGGTCCATTATTTCCTTGGGAAGAAGCTTCAAAACTTTCACCGCAGCTACATAGCTGTCAAAATTCACACTTTCATAGTCAAGATTAAGCAGCTTCTGTATCTTTGGGAAAAGGCTTTTCTCAATGCAACTCCTAATCTCTGCAGCTTCTTGTGTGAAACCATCTTTTGAAAAATGAAAATTCTTCAAAATCAAGTTGATAAGCTGTAGCAGAAGTTTTCTCTTATTGGTATGCTTGTTTATCTCATGGAAACACCGATTCAGTAGAGCATAGTACGACGTCCAACTCATATGAGCAGATACAGATGCAAGGGCGTCTTTGCATGCATCTTGAACATTTTTCCCTTTTCCATCTTGTCCATCAACCAACATGTTGAAAAAGACTGAGACCAAAAGTTTTCTCACTACTCCCTGCAATTCCAACAGTAAGTGGTCAGAAAGGAGTCTATAAAAAGTACACAAAATTGCATTTAAACATCTAAGAAACTAATGAGATCACCTCAGGCAGACTGCTATCTTTGATCACCTTTGTGAAAAGTTTAATTGCATTTGCTCTACGACATGCCTACAAGACATTGAAGAGAAATAAATCAGACGTTTCTATCATCTTTCATAAGTGATATACTGCTTCCTCCTATAAGGATAAAACAAGGTCTCAACAAAATAAAATCAGAAGTGGCACTGGTTCTTATGTGGTTATACATTATCGATTCTCGCCACAACATGAAGAAAAAGTGCGGACAAAGGTCAAAATGACTTACCTGAATGCTAAAAATGTTTTTAAAGAAATCCACTTCGTTGTTTTCTGAGCATAAAGGTCTGAATGCAGCAAGATTTCCGACATCGGGAAGTTTTTCCACCATTTTGCGTATCAAAAGAATTCCCCCCTGCAGCAGAATAATTTGATTTAGAGAATGTTAGTTCAAAGAAGACAGCCACAAGAAATAAATATACAATTAGGGTACAATTCAATATTCCTGATCAAGACACTAAATTTACTTACGCCAGACTTAGAGGGGTTACTGTACCTTTCCAATCGAAAGTCGTCTTTTAACTGCATCTCCAATGTGTTTCAAAATAAATTTATTGATAATCCATAATACACGATCTCCTGTCCAGCTTGCATTTGATTTTTTAACCTCTTTGATAATGTCAGACTGAGCCACAGCCTCTTGGCATAGTATTGAGGCTGAAAATTCAATGAAAGAACACAAGAGGCTCCGTGCGCTATCCTTTAACGTAAGCTCTTCTGATGATATGTTGTATATACTCTGTGAGAGTATGATCATCACGTGCTGCTCTGAGGATTTATTAAAGAATTCTGCGTCAATCTTCCCATACGCTTCAATTATCTTTTCGTAGTCAAGGTCATCAACTTCCATGGGTGAGTTGGCATTCATATCGCGGACGCATTTTGCCTGTAAGATGATGCAACCAATTATTTGTTATAATAGCAGATAGGAAAAAGAAAATAGAGATAAGTAAATGACACAGCTTCAAACAGAGATGTAAATACTTACCACACGATCCAACGAAATGTCGATTTTTGCAAGGGATTCAAGAAGATCACAAATGCATAATCTAACTTTACTTTCAGCATCAACAAGCAGAGGAGAGACTATAGTAATAATTTTGCTGGTACTCTCAGTCCCAAGCGACGGTGTGATGTCCTGAATGGCTAGCAACGCCTCACGATGAATGTCTGCAACAAAAATAAGACAGTCACACACAAGAGGCGTGATATTATATAAGTTTTACCAAACAAAGCAATGAGTAACCATACCAGAATCTTTCACACTTTTATCCAGAAAAGACAGCAAGACATCCAAATACATCATAACATGAGACCCATCTCGCATATGCTTGGACAATAGTTTAAGAATCTTAATCTCTCTATTTCCATGATACATGACTGATTTCCTGATCATAATGAACACTTTTCTTAGAAAAACAAATAGAAACAAGACGAAAATAACCAAAAGTTGGTCACTTTGCAAGAAATTTTACCTTTTCAATATATCCTCAAGGAAAAGAGAATGCAAGCTGGTAATAAGTGCGTCGATACATGGATCTAAGAATCCTCTGATCATATGATCATCCTCATCCAACTCATTTTCCAGACTGAGTAGATTTTCTATGAACTTTAAGACAGAAGACTTAATATCTTTTGAAGCTGTGGTGACTGTTAGAATTGAGAAAATGTCTGGAAGAAGAAACTCTTTTAGACATAAGAAGGTCACGAGATTGCGGCTTTTACTCATTGACAAGAAGCATTTGAACAATGAGCTTGGTGTTTTACTACTAGAACCCTCCTGCTTAAAACTCTTAATTAAGGGATTCACTGTTGAAAAGAAGAGGTCCCAGAACTCTGAGCCAAAATCACAATCCTCGTACTTGTCAAGAACACGAGCAAAAATCTTCAGACATAAGGATCTAAACTCTTTAAACTGCTTCAACGAAGTGCCAGCCTACAAAAAAACGAAAAATAAATGTCAGACATTATGAGTATTCCAGATAAAGGAAATGAGCGAAAAAATAAAACAATGTTTTCTTTGCATGGATATAGCCTCCATAAAAACTATAGGGAAAGAGAGCAAACAACACCAATAACCATTTTACCTGGTCGTAACTTGCTGAAACAGTCTCTTTATTAATGTTCATTTCTTCCTCGATATTTGGAGCGTAGTTTACCAATAGCCGAACAACACATCCCATCAAAAAGTCTAGAAACGGTTGGATATGGAACACATCAAAAACTTCCAGAATCTGTTCGATGACATGAAGAAACCCAGTTTTCTTCTCCCTGGATAACGTTGAAATAGTTTCAGCATTGAAACATTTCAGGAAATTCGACCTTCGGAAACAATCCAGAGAACTTTTATCGGAGCTCCCAAAAAATTCCATTGTTTCCTCTGATATGATGTTCAAAGGCTTAATCAACAACGCAAAGAACAGGGAAAGTTCATCCACATCCAGCTGAGATATAAAGCAAAGAACCGCTTTTCGGTGACGGATACTTCTTTTATGCTAACAAGAAAAACAGAAATAATTGTTAGGACCCAAGTGAATAAATGAACTGGCACAGTGAAGTGAACTAATAAGAAATATGTAATGTGTACCTTATGAGAAGTCGAAGTCTTTAATTTTCTAACTTTTGGCATAAGAATGCGAATGACAAGAGAAACAAAATGAGATCTGTGAGCTTCTTCAATATCTTTGGAAAAGTTCCAGGTTGTGAGCTCTTCCCTCATTTCTTCTGCTTTGATCAAGTTCTTCAAATGCTTCTGGTGTGGGAGTAAGTGGTCATTCCACAACATAAGGCACTCTAGAACATTCATTTGTATGTCAGAATCATCATCATCCAGGAACCTGGAAAGCAAATTACATCACAGAGAGAGAGGTCAATGAAACTATTTAATTCTGTATCCAGGAAATAATTTTTTTTTTAATTCCAAAAAAATGATCAAATCAGGTAGTTCGGCGCCAACCTATTCTGCAGAACGTCATAAAGCATTTGACTAAAACGAGTTGACCTTGGATTTTTCATCAACTTCACCAAAGTTAACCATTGTACAAGTAACTTCTTCCACTCATTTCCTTTACAAGCTTCGCCATTAAATAATCCGACCCTGCAACAAAGAGAGAGAGAAAATTAATGACCACAGCTGAATCAAATTATATGTTAAGCACCAAAGATATAGAGACATGACCACCTCACAGGATTTTCGCTGTTGTATCCCATAAATTCCAATAACAAAGGGAGAATTTCAGAAGCCCGAGAGTTAGCAATAGTGGGAACATTTTGCAATGTCTTGAGCAACAGTGATACCACTGTTGCAGTAGGTGTATCAGAGGGGGAAGATACAAATAAATTAAAACGGTCCATCAGATCTGTAGATTGACAAGAATAAGAGCCTATGTGCATCAGAATTGTAAGGAATATAATAGAGTTAGAGGAGAGAAACATATAGAGATGCAAAAGATTGGCAAAATTACAATAAAGAACCAAACTAACCAGATATATTTTCAGTATACTTCTCTGAAGTGCTGTAATTTTCACTCTCATTATGATTGTGGAGTGTTTGGAATTTTACTTGGCACTGGCCCAAATAGCGAACAAAATCAGTCCACACCGTGTCTGTGTGCTTCTCCATTAGAAACGCTAGGCAATTAGATGCTGGCTCCCAAAATTTAAAAAACCGATTATGAAATAGTCCGATCATTCCATTGAATACAAGAGGCACATATGCCTCATGTATCCTGCCAGAAGAGAAATCCATTGGGATATCTTTAATCAAATTGACCAACTCCACTTCGGTTGATACTGTGTGAAGGGACTCTTCGACTGTATGCAATAACTTCAGAACCTGATAATTTGAAGGAATTTTTTTTTTAAATCGTTATGACACAATAGATTGTAGATGTAATTATTATGTAGTTGTTATAGCTTATTTAAAAAAGCTGTTTAAGAAGAAGAGAAAAAAAAAATCTCTTTGAGCAGAGAACAAAGGATATCTACTCACATTTTCTTTTGGAGGAGACGTTTCAGATTTCAATTTCTTCTTAGGAGGATGCTCTGCCAAAGAAGAATTAGAAGAAAACTTTTCAAAATGGCACAAAACCCTTAGAGTGAAAAGACGGATGTCTTTGTTTGAGTGACGCAGATTTTCAGAAAATATGTGAAAAGCATCTTCAGCCTTATCTGCTCGAAGATCTGGATATGCCTGGGAGCTATCCTCATTAGCTAATAGAGGCCTGCAATTCAGAATGGATCAGCATCAAAGATTCTGTCATCTGACATGATGAAATAACTAACTAACAACCAAAACATGCAAACTAAACCTGTGCACAAAGTCTAAATAGTCGGCCACAGGAGACAGAACTTGTACACATGACTTGTAATACTTAGCAAGACTCAAAGCTTCCTCTAGATCACTGTGGTTGATTACTCCAGGAGAACAGAGTTTGTGACATGACCTCAAAGAAGCACCAAGTAAGCTCGGCCACATCAACTCTTGACCACTAAAAGTGTTTGCTGAAATAGAATGTAGCAAAAAGTTATGATAAATTCCACAAAATAGGATCACAATCAAGAACAACTCAATTTCTACTGTACAACATTCCCATGAAGGAAATTTCAAGGAAAATACACTGAAAATAAGAGATGATAATCAATTTGGAAGCTGTGAAGTGGAAGCACAAAACTTGAATGACAGCATAGAACTTAGATAAAATAACATGCAAAAACAATATGTAAATCATGCATGCAATTAAGTAAGACTTACCAACTGAGGCTGCCAAATGCTGTCTGAGAGTATTCTTAAGGCAAATCAGTAATGATGAATCCACTTTAAAAAAAGGATAACAGTTGACAACTCCCCAAACGGTAGCCAACTCAGCCTTGTCAATTTGAGTTAATCCAGTATCCTCTATGTTCTTTTGAATCTTCTTTATATTCTCTTCCAAGAACTCATGAATTCTCTCGTATCTACTCTCAAACAGTTCAGCTACAATGTTCACCTTGTCATGACTTGTTTGTTGGCTCTCACACAATGATAATAACAGAGGAATCACATCCTCAGACGACTCCCAAATCATATTGTTGATTGCACTGCAAAATAGAATTAGGGCGCTAAGTCATGGAAGATAGGCAGATTCAAGGAGACAGTAATGAGGAAGAACTATGACATAATACTTGCCTTAATATATCATTTGTAAAGGTTTTCACTATTAAACGATCCTTCTGTAGCAACTCCCGCAAAAAAATCAGCAAACTGAAAAATAACATTACAAGTGTTAATTAATAATAAAAGAAGTGGCATGAACATCGTAAAGAACAAACCGTTGATAAATACCTTGAACTCTTCAAGGAAAAAATGGGAGCCCATTGAAAAGCAACGGATTCCATTTCACTAACGGACATGGGTTTGTCGATGGTGCATAATATCAGCCGCAAAACTTCATCAAGGACAAAGACCTCAGAGGAAGCCATAACAGTTGACACAATTTGGCTCACGATTCCAATCAATGATGGGTAATCTGTTACACAATGACAGTAAGTTAAATTGGCAATACAGTCATGCAAATATATGGTGCCATGCACAGCCAAAAGAGAGAGCGACTTGAGGGAGAATAAATTCAACAACTTAATTACTATTTAACTCACCATGAACCTTGAGACCTTTCTTAATCCTAACAGCTGAGGTAAGCACAGTCAAAAGTCGGCTTAAATGAACAGATTTTTGGTTCAAGATTGATATGTTTATCTCCTGATACAAGCAATTCCAGATAACACTTAATTCTTCTACTTTATAATCCCTGCATAATCTCTCCAAAGCTGAACTCACGACTTCTACTGTACTACCAGAACCTGCCACGAAATACAAACAATGATCAGAAGGAAAGAAACAAGAATATAAACCATGTAAAGCAGCTTCAGGATCTAAATTCAATATTACAATTATAGTTGATTAACAGACATTACGGATTAAAATAAGTTTTTCACTCCAGCAATATTTAGAAACAGTTAACAAAGATGTGGGTTAGCATTAGGCCATTGGCTATAAAATATACACCTAACAGTAGAAAACACCTTATTATACCATTGAATTCCGAAACCAAAATAAATGGAATGGATGCACAACTATAGATAACGATACTGACTTGCCATTTTCTAAATCTTACCCCTCTCCAGAAAGAGTTTAAACCAAGAGGAAGCCAAATCAATAAAATATTAGAAAGAACTGGAGAAAACAGACTGATCTTTCAAATTTTAAATTATAACATCTTTTTAGAAATACGACTTGCCTTGAGGAGATTTTTCACAAAGGGATAATGTAGAATCTTTCAGCAAGAACCTCATAACCTCGACAGCTTTGGAATAGAGTTTCTCATTGGTATTTCTCATAACATAATATAATAAAGTAGCTCCTCCAGCTCTTTTCGGTGGATCTGCAACTTCAGAAAGAATCCTCTTGATCCCTGAAATGTTCAGGAGAGAAGAATCAACTGGACTGTCCCTAACATAGACATGACAAAAAGAAATGACAAGCAATTCATAACCTTTTTCAAGTTGCTTAACCGGTGCATTCCTCAACAAAAAGGACATCGAGAGTGACATATATTTTACGATAGAGTCATTGGGGTAATACCTCAGCTCCAATGTATCCCTTCATTAAAAAAAAATAACAAGATGAAGGCAACCCAACACAGTTTGATTTAACAAGATTTACAGCATGTAATATTATCGTATTAGTCCTTAACGGAATTAAAACAATAAAGGAAATGAATATGACTCAATCAGTAAAAGGAAAATTATGTGCAATCCTTAAACTGGTCAACAAGAAACGTAATCAATTAACACTTTCTTGAGCTAAGTTAAGCTGCGCTAATAACAGTCTAACAGATAACCTTGTCCTTCTATCTGGAAGAACTAAAAGAAACCAAGATGATACACGAAGCTTCTCTACCAGAAAACTAAATATTTGAGCAGTAACCAGTATCATAAGTTCAATAACTAAAAACAAGAGAGAAAATTGCATAAACTCTAACCACGTTAACGTATTTATTAGATTGGAATTCTGTACTTACTTTAGAATACTATCGATGTCGCATATGAGATACTTCTGTAGGTCTCTCATTATGCAAGACCATGAGTTGAATGTCTTCATGAAAGTTCAAAAAACACAAATTCAGTAAAAGTAACCTATAAAATTAAGTTGTCCTGAGTGTAGAAAATGTTATAGAACAGCAAAAACCTGCTCAAATATATCTGAATCTTCCTGACCACCATTTTGCAGAAGAGTCACTAAGGATTTAACAACACGTGGAAGGAAGCTAGACAAAAGAGATACAAAAGAAATTGGTTAGGACTTACACAATAACTGACTTAACAAAGTAACCGCAAGTGAAGCTCGAGTACTTGACCCTAAGAAGAAACTCAAAGCAATATATACGAGTGACTCTTTATGGCCATATGATAAGTTTATGCAAATGCAAGAGAAGGAAAAAAACATTTTGCCAGATATCCATATCATGCGGAAACTAATCAGGTCACAGATATAAAAAAAAAACTAGATTTTCCAGAGGTCCATAAGTAGTTCCAAAGCATCTAATTCCACTAAGCTATATAAATATTTCATCACTTTGCTCTGTTTTCAGAGTAAGCTATTTACAATGTTTGGATCCTAATCTGTTATTGTGCAGCTGAAAAGAGTAAAAGAGTTAGAAAAATTGACGCAGTCGGAATGCACCAAGACAACAAGCGTTGGTCTTGGAATTAAAAGCTCAAGTTTGCAAGCGACAAACTTGAAGAAAAAGCTCTGGAATCCACCAGAAAAGGTAAAGCTCGAAAACTCAAGACTTTGATTAATAAGAATGAATAATAGTTGTGTTCAAAACAAACGATCTAGGGTCTCTATTTATAGAGAAAGCCTAATGCATAAAATAGGATAATTACTAAAATCCTAATTAGAAAAGGAAAACACTTAATTAGGAAAATATCATGTAAACTAGAATGGACTAAGCTTAACCGTCTCCTGCATCAGTCTCCTCCACCTCCAAAGAACTCGACCCCGAGTTCTCATCTGGATAAAGAACACAATCGGCATGATACTCATAAATGTCAGCTACATTGAACGTATGAGAGATGTTCATGTCGTCGGGAAGATCCACCACATAAGCATTGTCATTTAGTTTCTTCGATATCTTAAATGGACCATACTTGCGAGGCTGAAGCTTGCGATAAGTACCAACTGGAAACCTTTCTTTTCTGAGAAACACCATCACGTCATCTCCTTCTTTGAAAACCTTGAGCCTACGATGTGTATCTGCTGCCCTTTTATTTTTTTGCCCAACTGCTTCCAATCTTGCTCGAACTGCTTCTTTAGTTTCCAAAATGTCTTTAGCCATTGCCTCAGCTGACGCACTAACTCCAGGAGCTTTCGGTAATGGAACTAAATCGACCACATGCTTTGGAACAGAGGTATACACTAAGGAAAATGGTGACTTCCCTGTAGCTGAATGCACAGCCATGTTGTATGCGAATTCCACCTGTGGCAAAGCGAGATCCCACTGTTTTGGTTTATCACCACAAACACTTCGTACCATATTACCCAACGTCCTGTTTGTCACCTCGGTTTGTCCATCACTCTGCGGATGAGCCGTAGAGCTCCTCTTCAAACTTGTTCCAAACATCCTCCATAATGTAATCCAGAAATGGCTGAGAAACTTGGTATCTCTGTCTGAAACTATCGATTTAGGTACTCCATGGAGACGCACAATTTCTCGAAAGAATAATTTGGCTATATTGGTTGCGTCTGCGGTCTTCGTACAAGCAATGAAGTGTGTCATTTTGGAGAACCTGTCAACAACAACAAACACAGAATCCACACCTCGTTGTGTCCGTGGCAACCCCAACACAAAATCCATAGACAAGTCCTGCCAGATATCTTCAGGAATAGGTAACGGCATGTAAAGACCTGTGTTCTGAGATTGTCCCTTAGAGACCTGACAAACAAAACACTTCCGGACAATAGCTCCAGCGTCTTTCCTAAGGTGCGGCCAAAAATACCTTTCCTCCAAGCTTGCAATTGTCTTATCTCGTCCCAAATGACCACTAAGACCACCACTATGTAATTCTCGTATCAACTTCTCACGCAAAGAAGAACAAGGAATGCAAAGCCTATTTCCTTTAAAAAGATAACCGTCACGTTCATGGAAATCAGCTGAAGGGTGTTTCTTACAACACTTAACCCACAATTCCTTGAATTCTTCATCTTGTGCATACAAATCTTTTAAGAACTCAAAACCCACAACCTCATGTGCTAAGGTAGTTAATAAGGAAGCCCTTCTACTCAAAGCATCTGCTACCCTATTAAGTGTCCCAGACTTGTGCTGAATAATAAAAGGGAATTTTTGCAGAAAACTAACCCATCGAGCATGCATCTTATTGATCACCTTTTGGCTGTGAAGAAATTTGAGAGCTTGATGGTCCGTGAAAAGTATAAACTCACGCTGAACCAGATAGTGCTCCCATTGTTTTAAAGCTCGAAACACAGCATAAAACTCCTGATCATAAGTACTCCACTTATGGCGTGCGTCACTTAGCTTTTCACTAAAGAAAGCTACAGGTCGCTTCTCTTGTGACAGTACAGCTCCTATTCCCACGCCACTTGCGTCACACTCCACTTGAAACACTTTATCAAAATCCGGTAATGCTAATACTGGAGCAGTACAAAGCTTCTCTTTAATTAATGCAAAGCTCTCGTCTTGTTCCGGACCCCAATGAAACCTTCCCTTCTTCAAACACTTAGTAATAGGTGCAGTAATGGTGCTAAAGTCTCTCACAAACCTTCTATAGAAAGTAGCAAGACCATGAAAACTACGTACTTCAGTTACGGATTTAGGAACAGGCCAATCTTGGATTGCACTCACTTTGGCTTCGTCCACCTGAATCCCATCCTCACCAACAACAAACCCCAGAAATAACAATTTGTTGGTGCAGAATGTACACTTCTTTAGATTCACGTACAGCTGATTTTCTTGGAGGACTTGCAAAACCTGATTCAAATGCCCCAAATGGTCGTCCCTAGTTTTGCTATAGATCAAAATATCATCGAAGTAAACTACTACAAAAAACCCAATGAAAGGACGGAGAATCTGATTCATCATCCTCATGAAAGTACTAGGAGCATTTGATAATCCAAAAGGCATCACCAACCATTCGTACAATCCATCCTTGCTCTTAAAAGCAGTTTTCCATTCGTCTCCAGGCCTGATGCGAATTTGGTGGTATCCACTTCGAAGATCGATTTTCGAAAATAACTTCGCTCCGTTTAGTTCATCAAGCATATCTTCTAATCTAGGGATAGGAAACCGGTACTTGATAGTTATCTTGTTGATGGCTCTAGAATCAACACACATTCGCCACTGATTACCCTTCTTTGGAACGAGAAGAACCGGTACAGCACAAGGGCTCATGCTCTCGCGGATCAACCCTTTCTTTAGCAAATCTTCAATCTGGTCCCTTACAATTTCGTTCTCTTTAGGACTAAGTCGATAGTGGGGAAGATTAGGTAGGCTAGAACCTGGAATCAAGTCAATGAGATGCTGGATATCACGCATAGGAGGCAGGTCGTTAGGCAACTCTTCTAAAACTAACTCCTTGTAATCTTCCAAAATTTCTAACACATCAGGCGGAGTTGTTGTCTCCTCTGGCACGACACTCATCAACCCTTTGATCACGATCGGATAAAAACACTTTGATTCCTCACAGTTTTGTCAAGTTCTTTATCATCATGCGACATGACTAGGAAGCTTGACTTCTTCTCCTTTGTAACACTACCAAAATCCTTAACAGGAGCCATTGCAATCTTATGAGTTCCCCATGTAAACATGATCACATTGTCACGTCCTCGGTACGTAATGTCGTTATCATACTGCCATGGTCGCCCAAGGAGAATATGACAAACATCCATATCCAAAACATCACAGATTATCTCTTCTTTGTAATGCTTACCGATTGATAAAGGAATTTTGCAAGTTTCGCTAACCCCTACTTTAGATCCTTTCTTCACCCATCCGAGACCATACGGTTTCTCATGACGAGTCGTAGGCAGTTTCAAATATTCCACCAGCTTTTGAGAAACTAAATTTTCGGAACTCCCATTGTCAACAATCACATTGCACACCTTGTTTTGAATAGAACCATGTGTTTTGAACAGATTCTTGCGTTGTCCTTCTTCTTTGGATGATAACAACAATCGCTGTAAAACAATGTTGATTCTGTCCTCAGATTCCTCTGTCGCAAATTCGACTCCCTCATACTCCTCATTCTCCGCAAAATCATCATCCTCTTCTCCTTCTAAGAATGCAACCGTTCTTCGACTAGGACAAACATTCGATTTATGACCTTGTCCTTGGCAACGGAAACACTTATCGATGGATGGTCTCGCATAATTATTACCTTGCTTATGGATCGGTGCTTTGCTTTGCTGAGCATTATTAGAACCAGTGTTAGAACTTCCAGCTCCTTTGTTCCCAAGGCTAGTATCCTTTGCCATTGCACTCTTCTCTTTATCTCCAGATAATTCAGAATTATTCTGGGATGGGTATCTTCTAAATGAAGTAAAAGTACGAGGAGATTTCTCCATTAACTCAGCTTTCAAAGCTAGACTAGAAGCCTCTTGTACAGTCCATACAGTTTGTAAACCTATCCTCTCCTGTATAGAACTCTTCAGCCCACTGATGTATCTTGCAACTTTCTGATTTTCTGTTTCTTCTAAATCATTGCGCTCTGAGAATCGCAAGAACTCTGCTGTATATTCTGCCACGGTCCTCTTTCCTTGAACACATTCAATGTACATCTTGTAGAGAATCTGTTCATAGTCCTCAGGTAAGAACTTTTCCATCATGAGCTGTTTCATTCGCCTCCATGTCTTGACTGGTCCTTTCCTTTGTCTTTGCCTTTGAACGACTAGTTTATCCCACCACACGGCAGCAGTTTTCTTCAGTCTAATTGCCACCATCTTAACTTGCTTATTCTCAGGAACCTCCATGACTTCGAAAAATCTATCAACGTCGATCTGCCAATCCAAAAACTCCTCAACTCCCATGGTTCCGTTGAACTTTGACTCGGTAGTCATGGTTTCCTTGACGATTTCTCTGCTCAATTTCTCTGCTCAACTTCGTTTTCCACAACTTCTTCTTCTGAATCCTCCTCCGAGCTGGAATTGTCAGCAACCACACGATTGTGCATGCCTTGTTGTCGATTGTTTCCACCGGGTCGTTGATTGTTTCCACCTTGTTGGGCCCGAGCTGGTACCACAACAGCCGGATTGTTTTCTCCTTGTTGATTCAGATTTGGTCCCCTTTGTTCTCCTCCTCCTTGTATCGCGTTAGCAATCTGCTGGGGTAAAGCCGCAAACTGATTGTTAAGCGCTGTCAACAAGTCCGCCATCCGAGTATTTAAATTGACGAGTTCACCTCTTAAACCCTCTATGTTGGCTTCGGTTAACGGTCGATCACCCATAGCTGTTCAAGCTTCGAAGAGAGAAGGAGATAGCCTGCTCTGATACCACTTGACGCAGTCGGAATGCACCAAGACAACAAGCGTTGGTCTTGGAATTGAAAGCTCAAGTTTGCAAGCGACAAACTTGAAGAAAAAGCTCTGGAATCCACCAGAAAAGGTAAAGCTCGAAAACTCAAGACTTTGATTAATAAGAATGAATAATAGTTGTGTTCAAAACAAACGATCTAGGGTCTCTATTTATAGAGAAAGCCTAATACATAAAATAGGATAATTACTAAAATCCTAATTAGAAAAGGAAAACACTTAATTAGGAAAATATCATGTAAACTAGAATGGACTAAGCTTAACCGTCTCCTGCATCAAAAATACTCACGGAATAAAGTCCTTCAAGAGATCTCTCGATAAAGCAGCAAGCAAACTGCAAGGGAAAAGACATAGATTTATATTTCTATTCAAAATAATAAAACAAAAGTGCACTCTCAGAAGAAATGTAATAAGTGAAGAAAAGGTAGAGACCAAAATCTTAGATAAGTTCCTTAAAAACAAAAACTGAACAATAACACTAATAAACTGTCAGATGTTTCCGCGATAATCGAATGAGTGGAAATTGCAAACCTGAGAAAGGCTTCCAGAGAAAATTTTGCTTCCATTTGTAATCCAGAGACAAGTTTTGAGAAGATTAATTCCTTTTGCAAGATAATCAACTCAAGATTCTGAACAAACGGCAACATCTCTTCATAAAACGAAATAAAATGTGCTGCTGTATTTAGTTCCTGCATTTAACCAACCAAATAATCCAAAAGAAATATAATGCTTGTCTGGTCACCCTTAATGCTTATAGAACAAACTAAAGACAAAAACAGAGTACCAAAGACTTTCATATGGAAGAGGGAAATTAGCAAGTTTGCAATAGATTCACAGAATCATTACATTTTGCTATACGTTTTTAATGATGACTCAACCATATAACAGGTATTGAATCAAAATTAAAACTAGAGACTATAACTTATTTGCTCTAGGATCTTAGCGTGAAACTAGCATCTTAAGTACGATAGAACAGTACAATACCAAAAAGAACACAAAATTTTGAAACTCTTACAGAAACGAAACCAAACATACCCTCTGTTCTAGGAGACAATCCCTGAAAAATGTGGAACCTTTGGAAGGCTCAGCCTTCACCTTATCGAGACTCCTAAAGACATTGACTTCAATGTCATTGATTCTCTGCTTGACAGACTTGAACTGCATCCAGAAGTAAAAGAAACCACAAACGACCATAACCAGAGAGCACAAAGATAACATTAAACGAAGCCAAAATAGATAAACCCAAAAACACAAACACACACACACACCTTATGTCTGTTATTTCCCATGATCAAAGAATGGTTAAGGGGTTTCGAAAACTCCCTCGACAGCAAGGTCTCCGGTTTTTCCTGAACACCCATTTAGAAAAGCATTAAAATTTCGATTCCAAAACTTCACAATTTAGATCCAGAGTACACAAATTTGCTTAAATTTTATGCTAACGACGCTGAGACTCGGAGATCGATCGACACAAACCTTTTTGCAAAATTAAGCAACACTTAGAAACGAAATATACGCAGAGGAATCCGAAATCGAAACTGGTTTGAAGAAAAGAAGCTCGCTCGCTTGCTTGAGATGATTTTGTGAGAGAGAGAGACGAAGAGTGCCGCGCAGCGAGCTGGAGAAGAGAATATATACTATAGACTATAGTGTTGGGTTTTAGCGAGTTCTTTTTTTTTTTGACATAAAACCCAAACCGAATTAGGTTATCAAACCGGTCGATAACCGGTTCTTTTAATAATCCGGTTCTATTACACAAAGCTAAGTGATACGGTTGAACAGCAAATTAACGAAACTCATGAAAACATTTGGAATAAACTTGAAGAGCTCCCTGATCGAAAATGAAACCATAATAAAACCAGCCAGGCTTCAAGGCCATAATGACACCAAGAGTCCCCCCAAACACTTCAGTGTTGTTGTTGTGTTATATACAAACCAAACAAGCATTTTAATAAGAAAATAACTGTGTGTGTTTTTGTGTATCAACAACAATGAAGCGTTAAAGGGAAACTCATGGTGACATTTGACTCTCTTCTTCTAGCCTCTATGATCCTATATCTAATAACAACACTAGCTATATATATATATCATTGCAAAGGGTCTCCGATTCTTCTAATTTCGTAATACTCAATATTTTTTTATAAGAAAAGAAACCATAATGGGACCAATAATCATATTATTCGAATCAAAGAAGAAGGTAAATGGAAATATGAAAGAGATGATGAATCGAGTCGAGATTATGGGACTCGTTAGGTGTTTGACCGAATAATTTATAAATGTTGTCCCTAGCTAAGATAGTTTGAAAGGTTTTGAAACGACAGAAGTATTCTTCTATGCATGGGATCGGGAAGGGACGACTCTTTTGCTCTGATATGTCTTTTCTCCTTCATTTGTTTATTGCCACTCGGCTCACCACATCCAATGCTCTTTTACAAAATATTCTCCCATTATTGAAGTAATGTTTACAACTTAAAGGAAAACATAGTTGAAGAAAACAAAAAATATAACAGCATGACTTATTTGTGTGCAGTAGTTTATTGAAGCAAAAATGTATATGTGTGTGTGTGTGTGTTTTATGTAAAACAAGTGGCTTGATATCATTAAATTAGTTTGACTGTTTTTGTTTGTGTGTGTGTGTGTTTCTGTTCATGTTTACATGGATGTGAAATTATTGTATACTTTTATATGAACATATACGGAATCTAAATTTTCCTTTTGAAATAATACTGAAAAATGTAGATTCAAATGCGAAATGTATAACTAAATCATTCTTGTATATTACGATTCATATATCTAGAAAATAAAATGCTGTTTTAGTTAATTGATCCTGACATGCATCATCTATTATGACTTTCACCTATTCAGTGCAATATATTTGGTACATATCATACGATTCGCCACATATATAAAACATTAGTTTTACTTATAGAAATTAATCAAAAAGTAGAACAAAATGTCAATACCTTGCCAAAATTCTTGGATATATTGCAGAGATTAGAGAATTTATATCAACATTTAATTAAACATTGAATTATTACCATACAAACAAGTATAAATATTGAAATAGCATTGAAATGTAGTGAATACAAGCAAGAACAAGCATGGGCACTACGATGAGCATATGAAAAGAATCTCCTTTATATCTTGTGAAAAGCCTTGATGACTTTTTTTGAGTTTTTCTTTAGAATTCATATTCTCTATAACTCTTTCCTTTAACCCCAATTTGCGTCTATATTCAAAGTGATGTCCTCGGTGACCACCATCGATCTTTGATCGCTCTCTCAAATGATATGGGGATATCCTCTTAAGCCTTGAAAATATATATAGATGAGAAACGTAGTTTACTCCCATATTCTCAAATCTTATTCGTATTTCAGCCCATATATGTACATTCTTATTAAAAAAGAAAATAAAAAATACAACGATTTGCCAAAAATAAATAAAATATCTTAAGCTGAATAATAAGTGTATACTACATTAATAAAGTTCATTGAATCCATCAATTTTGTAAAAGCTTGTGCATAAGAGCAATGCATGTCTTCTAACTCTATTTATAATAAGGATTTGATTGGTTCTCATGCAATACATATAAGTTGGCAACTTAAAGAAGATTAAAAATGGATAATGTACGGTTAATCATAAAAAATCATGAAAAAAAAGAAAGACAAATTGCTTAATGCTTACTACAACAATCACCACATGAACGCCATAACGTAACCAAGAGTCACCCTCAAACACTTCAGTGTTAAATACAAATCGAGATTTGAGCATGATCAACAATGAAGCGTTTAAGGGAACTCATGGGGACGTTTGACTTGCTTCCTTCTTGCTCTGCATGTCTTAATAATTAAACAACACTAACACTACATATATATGCCTATTTATATATCTATATTATTATTTTTGCAGCCATTTTTTTGACAACCTATTTTCTTGTTTTTAATCGATTTCCAAAAACTGTCATTTATCATTAATAAATTAACATAGTTCATTAAGGCTAATTATGTAATATTAATACTCGGGTCGGTTTTGTGCATCAATTTACGACCCGATTGTAATTGATGGATCTTTATTCTCTTATTGTTCAAAAATCAAATCAGTCGTTATTGGTAAGATAGATTGTAAACATAATAAATACGAATCATCTATATATATATAAAGTTAGTTTTTTCTCTCTTCTCATGATGCCACCTAATCATCCACCTAAGCCACATTTTTGCTTTTACATTAAAATAAATTTAAAGCATTCATTTAGTGCATATTTATGTTACTTCTATTAATAGTTTATATAAAAAAAATTATGTAAAATAAATGAAATGTTAAAATAAGAAAAATAATACTTTATTTTTTTATTATTGGTAATAATATAATTCAAATATCATTTTAAATTGATCATAGTTTAAAATTTTTAAATATGTTACCGAGTTTTAGAATGGAAGTAAATTTTAAATTATGGTACGTAGAATAAAACAACATTTATGTAATTGTATATATATAATTATAAAGAGGAAAAATAAAATTGAAAATGAAATATTAGTTTATAACATGATCTTAAAGAAATAAAATGATATTTCATAAATTAAATCAAATGCTTTTAATCAAAATTTGAGTATTGAAAGATAATAAGTAAGGAGAAAATAGTTGTTTACAAAAAAAAGAGAAAATAGTTATAATATTTTTTGAAAATCAATTAAAAAAAGACAGTAAATATCACGATATGAATAAAATTTTTACAAAACAAAATTATTAACCTCCCGCGCGGAGCGCGGATCAACTGCTAGTAAATATATAAAAGTTCCAAAAAAGTAGCAACACAATAACTACTAACCTTAATTTATGTATTTTTCCATGCGCGTTCAAAAGTGCAACGAGACGTAGCACTTGTAATCTTCTTCCAAACTTTCTTAATATATATGTGCCCAATTATTAGTCACAATCAACATCTTTCGAAACGGTGTTACTAATCTTATATTTCAATCATCCTAAAATGCCAGTCACATGCATTTCAATCCACTCTTTTTTTTTTCTCTTTTTTTTTTTTTTTCCTCTTGCTTGTTTATTTTCTTTAAATGCTACGTAAATTATCAGCAAAATAGGCATAGCTTATTGCTCACGAAGTTGCCTCCGTGCTTCACCGCGCGCTTCCTACCAGATTGGCCCATTCCGCCATAAGTACCTCCATCAAAATACTTGGAATTTCTTACTTTTCGTCGCATTCATAAGTCACTAACTATGAAGAAAAACTTGCCACTGTGCCTCGCAAAACTATAAATATGTAGACTAAAGATATGAAGGGGGAGTTATTGGGAGAATGATTTTTAAAGATTTTTAGAGTTTAAGATTCCATTGTTATTGGTTTATAGATTCTTAGATTCCTAATAAAATCTCTTGTTATTGGTGTATGTATTTTGTAATTCTATTTAAAATCCTTTGTTATTCAAAAAGTTGAGTATTTATTGATTTTCCAATTCTATCAAATTCTAGTGTTATTGGTTTAATGATTCCTTACATATTTAGTCATTAAAAACAACTTTCAAAATACTGCAATTCTCACAAGTATTTATAGAATCTATCATATGAAGAATCTATTAAACTCTAGAAATCTGGGTAAACATTATTTTAGAATCCACAAAAATTTTTGAGAATCTTAAAATCTCTAAACTTTAGAAATCCATAAACTCTTTTAAAATCATCCTCCCAATAACCCCCCGAAATGTCGGACTAAAAGATTAAAGAAAACTATGAAATAGCACATCCAAATGACTAATTAAGAATATTTTCATCACAAGGCCCGCAGATACCTAGGATTAGCTAAGAACATTTCATGATATATACATGTAATTCATGATCATTAGAACTCATCATCATCAATCTAACAAAGGATTAGCGACAACAACCAAAAGAAAGCCTGCACGCACTCTCTCTCTCTCATTCCAAATTTAACTTATTAACAATCCAAAAGAGAAATAACTAGAAACTCTAGCAACATAACAAACAATGCTGGTAATTAACACAAAGACTTACCATAACAATGTCTTGAAGAGTTGCAAACTTGGACAAACAAACACAGTTGATGGAGGAAGCAAATATTACATTATGCATCGACAATAATTCAAACAGAGAATAAACTCGGAAAATAACAAACAGGATATCCGATGGAGTCAGCCATGTAAGCAATAGCATATGATTTGGTAATACAACAACTTCTTCTTCTTCTTCTTCTTCTTCTTCTTCGCCTCATCAAAAACTGCTAGTGGGATGACCGCGAATTGAGTATTAACATCAAGACCCTCAGTTTTAAGCAGATCTATGGAATAGATTTTGTCCCACGTCTTGTTCTCTGGATTAAACGACCATATATCTTGGTAAAATCCATCTTGGTTGGGAAATTTCTTATTGGTGGATACACATAAGCGGTTGTCGAGGTTTGAGATGACCATCTTGTCATTTCTTACTTTGGGAAAAGGAACTTTAGAGATGACTTGAAAAGCTTCAGTGTGAAGATCCAAAGATAAAATTTGGGTTTCTAGGCTGTCGTCGGTGAAGCAATAAAGCGAACCATCTACAAACGCAGGATCATGGCAAGTAACACAATGAGGTGCAGGGGGAGTGACATACCTCCAAGAGTTGGTGCTGAAGTCGAAAACTTCGCATGTAGATGTCGTAGTGTTTTCTAGGCCAACCTCTGTAGAGTTGTATAACCAAACGGGCTTGCATGTGCCCGTGAATTTGTCTTTACCGAATCCATCTTGTGGTGGGATTGACCACAAAACCGGAGGTGATGGGATAGTAGAGACAAGCGAGACCGTCACAACTAGCCCGAGAAACAAAGAAAACGTCGTTCTCCCAAGGAGTAGGGATCTTGTCTGATGATAAGAAATCAAACGATAGTGTTCTTAGAGATTCGATTGCCGAGGGTTCCATGTCCGGGTCAGTACAACCACCAAAGTAAAGAGCTACGGACACCATGAGAATATCTGGATGATCTCCTGATTGCTGACGATGCTTCAACTGTCTTTCTTGGAACATACGGCATTCGATTGTTGATTTCCACTGCTTGGATACAGCTTTGAATCTTACCAGAGGTTTAACCGGAGTTATCTCTAAGATGCGCTCTACGACATGGTGAGGTAACCACTCCATCGTCCTCAAACAAAGTTTTTTCTTCATTAACCTGATTTGATTACGTATAGCATAATCGATTGATACCGAGAGGCTAATTTATCTAGTAAACAAAAAATGTAAATTGATAAGTAAAAAGGTAAATCTCAACACTTTCCTTTTCTTAGAATTTAAAATTTTATCAGATTAAGGAAAAAAAAAAAAAGGATATTGTGGGAGATATGATATTTTGCAAGGATAGTTTATGTATTTACTTGCTAGATGAGAAGAGTCATTGCGAAGGTCGGTTTCTAGAGTCTAAACTTGGTTCCGGCATGTGATCACAAAGCTAAATCACAATTTCGATCATTGACAAAAAGAGAAATACATATTTGTTTTGGTCATACTGTATTAACAATTTCGACGATTGATAAAAGATGAATACTTTTCTCTTTTGTTCCACAAAGGAAAATACTATAAAGTGCAACAAATAGTCTCTTGCCAACTCTTTAAACAAAGCCCAAAACATTGAACCGCTATCTTTTATGTCATTGCTAGTCACATGCATTTCAATCCAATCTTTCTCCTCTTTTTTTCTCTTGATTGTTTCTTTTCTTTAAATGCTACGTTAATTTTTAGCAAACTAGGCAAATTTTACATGCAACAATCCTTGTTGTAGGGAAGAAAATAGGGCTAAAACTTTGGTATTAATCATAGCTTATTGCTCTTATATCTTTTCTGTTAAACATTTTACTTTTACTACATTATAATTCAGTCTATGTGGCAACAGATTTTGTTAGTCGTTTTATTTTAAATATTGTTAGTCATCTAAATGTACTACCAAAGTCTTACTAGAATTTAAATTCAGATCTTAAACATAATATTGTTTCCATTCTGAAATCCCACCTTGTTAAATTAAAAATATTATGATCATACACCAATACCTAGCTATATACCAACAAACTCTAGCCACTAAAATTATATATGTACATTTTTCATATATTTCTAGGAACGTCAAGAATACCAAACTCTATATATTTTGAGGAAAACACCAAATTTGTATAACAAATTAAATGTAAAAATTCCATCCAAGGATTAATTAATACTTTCCTCCTTACGTTCCTGCTGGTCATGTATGTATATGTTCGGCTTGTCCATTGGATGTAGGTGACTACTTAATTAGGGAACTAAACCTCCACGCACATGGCCACATACCTAGTTATTCTTTACAGGTAACTAATAATTTGGTTAGACTCTCTTTTAAAAATTATTATGTACGTTTATTAATTTTAAAAAGAGTTGTTCTTAGAGGAGTGGAATTGCGTGTTGGCATCCTGTAAATGCCAAAAGATTTAGAAATTTGCGTATAAGAATATATCATTAGAAAAGTAGTGCAGTAAGGCATAAAAACATTAGATTAAGGAGAATGCACATGATCCCATGAAGATTCTTGAATTAATTAAATCCAAAATGGCATTAATTTACAAGCTTAATCTCCCTTAGGTGTTTAGTTGTCAACGTTATAATATAAAGATAAAAATCTTCTTGCCTTCAGATTATGTCGCTATCTTGTTCCCCCAATCAATAACTTATTCATAAACCCATCCCGTAAAACTAATCATTAACGAAAACTCTTTAACCTTTCCATCGACCACAAAGCTCATGGTTATTATAATAATACTCTTTCATAGTTTTACTTTACGTGTCAACCTATGTCTTGTTACACATACATCGCTGCAATGCAACAGTCATGCATACTCAATTCAATCAAACGGTAAGGATGGTTTATATTTGTGTAAGAGATGGCTTGTACTCCATTATATGTGTGTGTGTTTGTTTTGTAAGAGATGGCTTATAAGTCTTGAATAATATATTTGGAGTCGTCTTGGGCGATGTCAGTGTCGATGAAAGGGTAAGAAAGTGTTGGGTCCATTTTCAGAAAGGAGAATGACCACTTTCCAATTCTATTTGTCTTCTTCCTCTCCTCGGAATCTGTAAAAATTTGATACTCTTTCTTTCACACTTCTTCATAATTTTACTTGAAATGTACCGCTTTAACTATATGATGTCTACAGTTCATAAATTGAATTCATAATCAATACAAACTTTGTACTCCTTAATGTAATCTCTCGTAGGAGTTACAGAATTTTAGGATAATGTCCTTCATTTTGTTGTCGTGACAGAGTGATTTATTGACATAAGCATAATTTGTTTCATGGAAAAGTCTTTTTGGTGGATTTTGATTTTGATATTTTTTTTTCCCCTCAGCGTTCTGGATATGAGTTGTTACGATATACAACCACATGGTTCAGGCTTTTTTATTTAATTTGTTGTCTAATCATCGGTCCCATATGATTGATTAATAATTATTATATAATATGATGAATATTCCCCATATTATTTTACATCTTATTACTGATAACAAAAACTAGTGTGATCTTTTGCTTATGCATGTATGTAGCTAGACTAATCATAGATTCTTGAAATATGAAATGGGATCGTCTGATCACTTCTTTTTAAAGAACAAGAATGTTACAAAATTTAATTTGATACAAAAAAAAAAAAAAAAGAAATATGGAATCACATTTCAATTGTAATGTTGCTGGTCAAGCCATGGCCAAAAGCCAGACTGGTCATCAATTCCACAGAACATGTTACTGATACTGTTCTCTTCTTTCACCATTCTCTGTTCTGACGATGGATTCTGAAAGAACTGCATCGTTGTAGCTGTCGGTGGATGGCCTAAAGCGAATTGGCTGTCCATCTCCGGTGGTCTTATGTCACCAGAAATGTTCTCACTTCTGTCACTACATGATCCTTCCGTATCTTTGTTCAGATTGATTGATTCTATTGGTTCTCTGCTTTTCAATGCCATTACCTGCATAATTCAATATAAACCCTACTAAGAAACTCCTAACTAAAAGAACAAAGAAACAGAGCTGAGCTTGAATCTTTTGTTGTCTTATTATGAAGTTTCGTTATTACCTGAGCTTGAAGCTTTTGGTTTTGAGTTTGAAGAACTTCGTTTTCATCTCTGAGACTGTCGAACTGACGCTTAAGTATGTCGTAGTCTTTCTCTAGCTGTTTTGTTTTGGATCGAGCTCTTCTGTTTTGGAACCAAATAGCGATTTGTCTAGGTTGTAATCCCAAAGCACGAGCCAGCTCTAGTTTACGATCTGACTCGAGTTTGTTACCAAGCTCAAAGTTCTTCTCTAGCGTCTTCAATTGCTCCATGTTTAGTCTCCTCTTCTTCTCTCCCATCTTAGATCCATCGTCTGAATACTCTTCCTCTCCGTTCATCTCCAAATTGCAAAACCCTTGTACGTTGTTCATTGGAGATCTCTTACCTAGAAACCCTGAAAAAGAAACAGAGCAGAACGTGAGAAGCAACAACAGAGGAATTGAAAATTTTGTGAAAGGTGTTAATGTGATATAATATACCATTGAAGTCTTGAAGGAGTTGAGGATGATCTTCTTCTTCTTGGTGATGGTTTTGGAGACTGAAATTTGGAGGAAAGAAAGCTAAGCCATTGTTACAAGACATGTCTCTTGTTGATTGTTTTGTTATTTCTCCACCACCTTGTCCTCTCGGTTCAGAGTAGAGAAAAGAAAATTAAAGAAAGAAGAAGAAGGATGGTGGTGAAATGAATCTTGTTTAGACTATACATACACCACTTATAGGCTAAATACTAGCCAGGCTAGGCTATAAAACTTGGTTTTTTCTTTATTCTTTATTATATGAGTATATAAAATAGGAGACAAGACTCAAAGCCGATAAGAGAGAGAGAGAGGTGATTCTACTACTATACATTCACGTTGTATATAGGTATTGGAGAAGGTGGATATGGGCTTGTATATTTTACTATGCTGTATGATTGTATCCAACTTGTTAGATTCGGGTTATTGTAGTTTCTGATACCAAGTTATTTGTTTAGATGGTTCATTCTTGATACCAAGCTATTGTGTAATTTATGTTTAAAGTAATGTTTAATAGACTTTTCTTTCAACAATACACATGATCTCGATTTACATTTGGATGTTTGCACGACAATGCGCACAATTAAACATAAGTATATTTCAATCTTAAATTAAAACTTGTGAATTTGGTCGATGTGCAAGCAAACTCTTAAGGGGTCTTACATGGGTATCAGTATCACTAGTCTATGTCTCTATGATATGAAAGCAAACTCTTAAGGCCCTACATGGTAATACTCACTAGTCTATGATATGATTAGACTTCTTCTTTATAGAAACCTTTTACAGAACATGACTTTTTCTCTATGGTAGGCAAACATACTTTCGGGAACAAGAATTCTCCATCACTACATATTATGTTTTGACACAAAGCCCACTTTATATGCGAGGCCAGTTTCTTCTTTTTCTTTTCCTTCAAGTCCGAATTATCAACTTTCTTAGACATTTTTGGTCGGTTTTATGATAAAATATCTTATTATTGGCCCAACTGCTGTACAAAGTGGTCGCTCCTAGCCATTTTTTTTAAATATATTCTAAAAGTTTTATAAATTGTGTTCAAATGCTTTTATGAATAACCACGAGTTACTAAAACTAGCATAAACTGTTGCTTCTACGAATGTTAGGCTCTGATTGTTTCTTTACGTTTAGGTTTGTGTTTGTCTGTTATAACATTCTAATCATCATAACATAGAAAAATAAATGGAAACTTAGAGAAGCATATGGTAACATGAAAGATATGCATGCATGAATTATTCTCATGCTTACTATTGTGGATAATGTAGTAAAGTGTAATCAATTCAAACGCGTAGCCAGAAAAATGTTATCTGTGGTTTGTGGTTCTGAAGTCGACTTCCCCTCAATTCTTGTAATCATAGGCTCACTGTCTTATCTACTTCTTCTCCTCTGTAAGGGCAAGGGCAACGGCGTACCTAATCGTCCGTCCCTCCCATTAAAAACAAAAAAAATCAAAAATGAAACAGAAACGAAAGGACGTTCTCATAATCGCGACCGTCCTGCACTTCTTTCTTCATTAATCGCGGGCTCCACTGACACGTGGCGGCCCGCGATTGGTTTCTTTCTTTTTTTTTTTATAGAAAAAGCTAAAAGTAAAAAAGAAAAAAAAAATTATGATCAAGGACGTAAAACCGATGCACACGCTCTAAGTTTTTTTTTTCTCTCTTACTATTTGAGCTCTCATTCACATACATATAGTTTATAAATATTAATTTTCTAAGTATTTTTAATTGTTTTTTTTTCAAGTATTAAAAGGCCTTCACACAAAAACTCATATTACAAAGCCTCTTCCTTCTTAATGTATATTATGAGATCTTGGATTGTAGTAGACTCATTCGTATGTTTGAGAATTGAGAGAACAAACCAAAATTCACATTACAACAAGAGCAAACAAGTAAAGGAAGTCTAGCTGGGAATATTAATTGGGGCAAGGCTCTTTTGTTAGCATAATTGGGCCAAGGCTCATTAGTCAATGATTTTAGGGTCGATAGTAAAGGTTTCTTCATTCACGTAGAATTTGTGATACCTCAAACTATTAGATTTGTCGCAAAATAAAATACAAAGCATGTATGTATCTTAAATAATATGTTAAAACGTAACTAATAATAAATCGAGAGATTATCATTAAAAACGTGTTACCATCTCCTGAACGTGTATCACATTATCACATGTCTCTAAGCCATATAGTACTAATTTCATCATATTTGAATTCTTCTATGAAGAAATATGCAAACCAGCACATAGTTCTTTGTGCTCATAAATTAAAATAACAACCAAACAAAAAGTATATATGACCTTTAAGGCGCAATAATTTCTGTCTGTTCAAATAAAAGTATATAACCTTCTTCTTGATATCCATAATATTTTCTTTTTAATCTACCATACATATGCTTTTCGTATTTGCTCGAGACATATTAATTAATTAAATTGATTTTAGCATTTGAATCATGAATTATCTACTGAATATACACAAAAGCCTATTGATTTACTGTAATTATCGAGTCAATACGTGTTACTATAATAAACGACGAAGATCACGCATTAATGATCACATGCAGGAGGATTTTAAATAAAAGTGGCACGACCATACCATACACCATAGATAATATTTTTAAAAAACAGACAATCCAAACTAAAACGACCTCGAAAACATCGAGGTCTTCGTCTGTTTCTATCATATTTTAAACAATTTAAATTCAATCACAACTTCTCCACGTTTTTAAATTTGTACATACTTCCAAAGCAAAAATTATGTATTTTAATGTATACACGTAAGTATATTACTCTTAATTTCATTAACCAAGAAACTTCAAGGCATTACACCGACGATGATCTCCTCATCAGTCATCAGCATGTTTTATCGTAGCAAAATTAATATTATAAGACGAAATATATAACATGATGAGTAGAACAACAAAAGAGTCAAGGAAAATGGAAATGGACCGTGTCATTAATCATAATATTTAGAGGATCTCATGATACATGGCTACTATACAGCCAGGTCTGGACCCTCATCACATACAATTAAGATGCATACATACATACATATATAACCATATATATCATATAATATATGAGTTGGCCTACACAATGACCCGAAACCCTAGCTATATCTCATAATATATGAAGTAGAAGTAAACAGAGATACTCATAATTATATAAGATAAATTTGGTGGCCGGAAACGGATGATTAATATAGCTCTCAGATTAATTAATGGCATACGAAGGTTTAATAATTAAGCAAGCTCCTAATGATGGCTGCTTCGGCGCTGTTGTCATCCGTCGAAGCCAAGAGTTCAGACAAACGGTCACTGAGGTCATCAACTTCTCTGTGTAAGTTCCTGATGTAGTTGCAAGTCTCTTGTAGTACCTTAGATGCTGACACCTGTCCAATTTTTTAAAACATTTTATTATTAGTTAAGAAGTACAAAATATATATACAACGATCAAATTTTTAGATCCTTACAAAGAGTACGTGACCACACATGTGCTACTACTTTAATTGATATATCCTTCTTTTGTACCAATTTCATATATATCTTCAAGGTTGAACAGAAACATTTTTTTTCTCATGATTACCACTTCAATGTGCACAACGGTATAAACGGCCACAATTTATGAATCCTATATCTCAGCTATATATAGAATGATGGTGAGCATATAGGTGGAGAAGAGTAATGAGGAGACATGGAGTAAAGGTACGTGGAAGTAGGAAGGGAACAAACTGAGTCCCACACCACCAACTTGTGAATTTAATTGCAAAAAAACATTCAGAGAACAAACAAGATATAATGCATAAATGAGGCTGTGAATTAATGTTACTTTATCTACGGATAGTTAATTGTAGGCCACATGTCTTTACGCTACACGCCGTTGGATTTCACCATGCAATATACTAGTATATGGTTCCAAATCATTTGAATTTTCTAAGTCCATGTGCAAGCTTACTTATTTGTATACAAAACAAGTATGTATGTATGTATATGCAAGAAAGACTATATAATAATGTATTATTGAAGTGTATATATATGTATGTATACCTTGTCAGAACGGCGGCGGCGGAGTTCAGGGATGAGGTGTTGGAGCTTAGTAACAAGATCTGAAATCTGATCGTCAGAGATTCTTGAGCTTCCTGACTGTCTTGAACGTGAGGATCTTCTGCTCGACATCTTCTTTCTTGATATATTTTAAAATTGTGTGTTGTGTGTAGAAAGAGAGAAGAATGCAAGAAAGGATAAGTAGTTAATGTGTCAGAGAGAGAGAGAGGGAATGAGAGTGGAGAAGAAGGTGTTGAAGAGGGAGGAGCAAAGTGGATGTGTTTTTATAATGCAAATTTATGAAGAGAGAGAGAGAAGATGATGAAGGAGAAGAAGAAGAAGAAGAAGAAGAAGGGAGAAGAGACAAGTGCATGGAGGGAGGGTGTGGGTTATGTTTCTTTAATAAGAGTGTCCTAGCTTTCAACTATTTATTATTATTTTTGTTATTAATTTTTTTTCATTATCATCTAGCTTAGTACAAAAAGATACTGTTTATTTTGAGTAAGCTTCTAAACTTACTTTCCCACGAGACCAACGTCTTGATTGTTACATGTGTAAAACTGATCAGTACCACGTCGAGTTTTTTTTTTCTAGCTCTTAGATATTCCTGTTCCACTTAACCTTCTTTCTAACGAGCTCACATGGTGTAGTATCAACTTCAACTTTAACAACCTTTATTGGAACTTCAAAGCTACATGTTTCATTTTCTCAATATTGAACACATGGCTAATCACTAGATATAACTCCATATAAATTTCAGGCGGCTCGTTAAGAAATTTTCTAGTTAATCATATATATATTTATTAAATATGTCTTGTGATAAAGTACTCGTTACCAAAAGAGTTTCATATATCTCATAGGACGAGACCAGAACCTATATCAAAAGGATATGATAGAGAGTTTACAGTCATGACTAGGTATGGGACCAAAAAAAAAAGAACATAATCGAAAACACGACCGGGGTTTAAATTACGTTATTCGGTTCCGTTTTGGCTAAACCCTAGTTAAATTAAAAAATCCAAAAACGTTAAACCATGTAAATTCATGCTTGCAACTCTTTGTGAAATCAAAGGTGAGTCCACGAGGCTACAGAGGATTTCCAAAACCGGGACAAGTAGAGAATTAACTCATTGCAACATTTTTGGCACAAGAGGCATCCAAGTAGAAGAAACAAAGAAGAAAAAAATAAGAAGAGGGGAAGGGAAAGGGACGTAGAAAAGGAGGGGAGGGCCATGGAAAGGAGAAGAGGGATCAAGTGGGGTTTTAAATGGCAAAATGTGTGTTTATCGCCAAACTAAACTGTCCCTCTTTGCCTTCTCTCTCTGTCAGTCTCACCATTGCATCCCCACGTTATATCTATTACTTCCTTGTCCCTCTTCTCTCTTTCTTTTTTTAATCACTTCTCTTTTCTCTTATATTAATTCTCCTCTCTCTCTCTCTCTTTTCTTACCATTTTTGTTTGTCATTTCAAACTCTTACACTGATTACATTTGGAGATTCAATGGCTGTGGAACTTGTATGTATACGTTCTTCACATATTTGATGTAATATCGAAATATATGAAAGAACAAAAACTGTATTATTATTAATCTATTATATATATAAGAGTGAATAAATTAAGGTCATAATTTCATAGTCTTTTTTTAGTGATAGTGGTCTATATCATGAAAAGAGTGTAGGACATATGGTACAAGAAAATACCAAAAAATGTTGAAACCAAATTACGGATCATGTTTTGGATGTTTACAGTCGACAACTCTGATTTTTCAGAAAAAAAAAAAAAAAATACCTTCCACAAAAATCTAATTTGAGTATCATGTGGTAGATGCAGAGATATATGCATTTGATTGTCGATTCGATTTGCAGTTCGTTGATTTTTCCTTTATTATGTGGTAGATGTTCGCTTTTGATCCGGTTTTAATCTCATATTCTTTTCGTTGTCAACATGGTCTTGATCTATACATATGTAACTTACATAATCTTTTAGCCTAATAATGAAAATATGCATTTGTCTTTTTTTATTAGACTTGTATTGACTTAAATTTTATTTTGCATGGTTTGGTATCAATTAAGTTTGAAAATTAGTGTATATGTGCATGTTTTGTTTGAAAATAACCCCAAAGCTACAGGACAGATTACTTGTACCGAAAAAACTAAATCAAACTTCTTGGATTACTATGAAAAGAATCATCCAATTGGAAGCGACTAATTTTAGTTCAGATTCGGATATACTTTGATACACACATGTAACATGCATGATGAACTACATTGACGAACACACACATGTAAAGCAAACACAAAGAACACTTATATAGACATTGGATATAGTTTTATAGACTATTTTGATTCGTCCAAGTCATCAGAATTCAAACGAGACTTGAGGGTTTGAATTGGAATGGGAAGCTGAGAGAATAATGCGGTTAATTTCCGGCGGAGTGAATAAGAACAACAACATGCATATGCTTTTAATGAGACCTACCCTTACACACAGTCCGAGATCAGTAGCTTTCCTATTAATTAGGAACCCCATCTCTTAATTTTGTGCCGTTTTCTCTGACTTTAATTACATCATTAAAATGTTACTCAACTACTAATGTTAGTAATTTATAAAATTTGAAAAAAGAATATACCTTGAATAAATATCAATTTATAAAAGTTAAATGAACTGACTACTACTAGCTAGGCTAGCTAGTACTCACTACTCAGCTATATGTAGTACACTTGTTTTTATATATACTAATAAAACAAGTGTAGTTTGAAAAAAGAAACTTGTTATCTGTTTGTAGCAAACCCTAGACCGACCAATATCAAGATTTTAATGAGAAGATGCTTATCATGTCACAAGTAAATAGTTTAGTTGCGGACATTTCATGGTATGGGTTAAAAGGTTAAAAAAAAATAAAATAAAATAAAATAAACGATCGAGGAGCCAAACATTGTTGACGGTCAAAGACATATAACGATAAAACCAACCCATCCCCGAGATTTTAAAACATGGCATGTGTTGTCTCGCAATCTCTGTTTTTTTTTTCATTTTACATAACAAATGTATAAAATAATAATCATAACTCATTTTTTTAATACTTATAGATTGATGGAACCATATATACAATTACTAGTGGAACAGTGTAAAGACGATGTTCCAAAGATTTTCAGATTATATAGTATTATCACTAAACAACGTCCTTGGGGTTCGGATTACACAGAAGAGAATCTTCTTAATTAACTTTTAAAACAATATTAATAAACTCTTTAATTATTGTACGATTACGTGTGTGTGTGTGTGTGTTGTGGCACCTTCCTGGCCTACATATAACTAGTTTTGGATGTAGGTAGGATCAGGATTCTTGAGATCGAATCCGATTTGCGTTCTCTACTTATTAGTATGATTAGGTTTAAACGAAATCTATAATAATTATTGATATTGATTTCGCATGAACTTGACTCTATACCAACCACATACATATAAAAAGTATTTTGTTAACATAGATTCATAAAATCATATTATACTAAACACACAATTAGTTCATGAGGTTTTGATATGTATTTTAAATTTGTCGGCATGTCGACTCGACTTTAAATAAAATTGCTGATAGAATGATGAGAAGACAATATTTGAAAGAACTATATCCACTCTCATAATAAAAATAAAATTAAAAAATGGTTTACGTTGTATATATGACATTCAACCTAAATTCCTAACTAACATTATTTCACTAAGATCTAATATATACGAATCTTCAAAATGTATGATAGAATAGTTTGACATTTTCGATATCTTTGAGATTCTATTGGATTCTTTTTCAATAGCTACGTTTGAGAAAGACTTGTACTGCTATAACAAGTGGCATGATCTCCTGTTGATTCAAAATGATATATCGATCTAAAACTTGAAATTTTGGAGTATAGCTAGACAAACAAGTTAGTATTGTATATAAGTTTTCACATTATTTAAATTGGTTTATACTGTACCCTAGGTTAACAATATTTTCTTAAACTAAGTAGTATATATATGATTCTATCATGATACTAAATACAGGTAAGCAAAGAAATGAGCTTTAATTGGTCAATATTATTATATATTACTTTGATAAATGTGATGCAGATGAAGAATTTGGAAGTGAAAAAGAGTACATTTGATCCTGACCAAAAACAGATACACTCATACCAAATTTCAACATTTGGTGATCGGTGCAAATATTAACATGTTTACAAATTTATCTGACGGATCCAAACATGAACATTTTGTCCTAAACCCACAAAGGTTTTTTTTACAAATTTTATGAAAACAAAAATGAAATAGTAAATGTAGGGTTTGTATATATGAAGCCCTCATGTGATGTCCTGCCACTGTTGTCCTCTCACAAAATCCAATTTCTCGATATATATTGATGTCACATTGCAATGTAATATTAATTGTTGGAATTTATATATCATATATTTTTATATGTTATAAATAATTAAATTTAAATACGGACCAGATATTATCTGGAGGTATAAAACAATGTATTCAATTTTGTACTCAGACATAACTATTTGGCCAGAACTTTATTACACAATAGCTACGTTAGAAAACAAAAATAAATAGCGAAAATTTTTGTAGTTATTCAAACACTTGGAAACAAAGAAGTTAATTTGAAGTCATTGAAAACAAACGAGTTATAATCTTGTGACTTTGACTTGCAATATGCCTTAGAAGATTTCAATAAAATCAGTTTAAGCCCTAACAAATAATAATGTAAGTAGATACAATATTAAAGATAATATCTTTGGTTTTGACCTTTGACATAATATGAAAAAAAAAAAAAAACTACATTACATTAAACATACACCAATTTGTCATCAAACACTTTAAAATGTAAGACTTTACTATAAATGTCCTAAAACTTGACAAAATCAAAACGTCAACTATTTATAAAGAACAATGTAACTAGAATACACTAGTTTTGTCATCAATCACTTAAAAATGTAAAAGACTTTACTATAAATGTCCTAAAACTTGACAAACTCAGAATGCAAAACTCTTTATAAAGAACAATATAATGTAGTATAAGTTAAAAAAAAATCGGAATTTCATCAAATTTAAAACAATTATTAAGCTAGGAAAGAATTGTGAAGTAAATCAAATTCTAAGATATTGAAGGATGTAAATAATAAAGAGTTGACGGGTTACAAAATTTATATCTTTTTGTGTTATATATAAATTGCTACTTGTTTAAAACAGTGTGTTTGGGGCCAAAAGAAAACATTGTGTGTATTGTACCGACATCATTTTTCAATTGTATAAATCTATTCGTAGTTGAGTTGATTAGATGATAAACAATTTTACAACAAGTCTTGGCTCGTCATATACATTCATGCAACTCTCTCTACACCACCGCAAATACATTGCTAAAGGAATCAACTTGGATTGTGATTCTGATCCATAAAGTGGTGGATACGTGAATCAAATCACGTGTCAGATTTTATTTTACTACTATTTGTTATAGACAATTGAATTGTATAAAACGCCGGATACGAAATGCAACC